CTCCTTTGAATCAGTGTGGGATGACGGATCTGGGTCCAGTCTCCCTGAAGCAGTGGGGATTATGGATCTGGGTCCAGTCTGGGTCCAGTTTCTGAATCAGCAGGATGGGATGACGGATCTGGGGCCAGTCTGGGGCCCCCTGGAGCAGTGTGGGATTACGGATCTAGGTCCAGTCTCCTCTGAAGCATTGGGGATTATGGATCTGGGTCCAGTTTCCGCTGAAGCAGTATGGGATTACGGATCTGGGGCCAGTCTCCTCTGAATCATTGTGGGATGACGGATCTGGGGCCAGTCTCCCCTGGAGCAGTGTGGAATTACGGATCTGGGTCCAGTGTCCTCTGAAACAGTGGGGATTACGGATCTAGGGCCAGTCTCCTCTGAAGCAGTGTGGGATTACAGATCTGGGTCTCATTTCCTCTGAAGCAGTGCAGGATTACGGATCTAGGTCCAGTCTCCTCTGAAGCATTGTGGATTACGGATCTGGGTCCAGTTTCCTCTGAAGCAGTGGGGATTACGGATCTGGTGTCAGTCCCTCTGAAGCAGTGTGGGATTACGGATCTGGGTCCAGTCTCCTTTGAATCAGTGTGGGATGACGGATCTGGGGCCAGTCTCCCCTGGAGCAGTGTGGGATTACGGATCTGGGTCCAGTCTCCTCTGAAGCAGTGGGGATTATGGATCTGGGTCCAGTCTCCTCTGAATCAGTGTGGGATGACGGATCTGGGGCCAGTCTCCCCTGGAGCAGTGTGGGATTACGGATCTAGGTCCAGTCTCCTCTGAAGCATTGGGGATTATGGATCTGGGTCCAGTTTCCGCTGAAGCAGTGTGGGATTACGGATCTGGGGGTTCAGTGTGGGATTACAGATCTGGGTCTCATTTCCTCTGAAGCAGTGCAGGATTACGGATCTAGGGGTCCACGGATCTGGGTCCCTCCTCTGAAGCAGTGGGATTACGGATCTGGGTCCAGTCCCTCTGAAGCATTACTGGGATCTGAGCAGTTCATTACGGATCTGGGTCCAGTCTCCCTCAAGCAGTACTAGCAGTACGGATCTGGGATTACATTACAGGATTCGGATCTGGGTGGCAGTCTCCTCTCTAGAAGGCAGATCTGGTGGGTTTACAGTGTGGGTTTACAGATCTGGGTCCAGTCTCCTCTGAAGCAGTACAGGATTACGGATCTGGGTCCAGTCTTCTCTGAAGCAGTGCGGGATTATGAATCTGGGGCCCAACAGCTGCACTGACCTCATTGTGGCTACTTTTGGACTTGAACCATGACCTTCTGAGTCCTCAAAAAAGTTGACTGCAGTGCTAATTGAATGAACAGAACCGTGAATGTTGCAGAACTCGTCTTGGACATTGTTCCTGAGAATTTCCCATGTGGGCACTTCAGATGGTTTTTGTGGGGGGCTAAAATGGAACTGATGACGTGATGACACTGGGGGTCGGTGGGGGGCGTCTCGTGATGTTTTCAGTGCATGTGGCAGCGCTGGCGTTTCTGAAGCGGGACGTGTGCTGCATGTCTGTCTCTCGCTGTCTTTCCCTCCTCTCTCTACATTTCTGTCTAAAATAGCCCAAATGCCCAAATCAAATATGATGCCTAATAGTCCAATAGTATCTGAAGTTCTGCACTTAGGGCCCTATGATTTCCGCGATCACAGAATTGCGGACGGAATCGCAGAATTGGCCAATAAAAACGGAATCCATTGTTAAACGCGGAATTTCACGGAAATCGACATAATTTCCTGAATTGCAGTTCGTAAAGCCACGTTTCCACCGAACCCTAAGCAAAATATTCGCACAACCAGATTACATTCAAAGGCAATGTAAAGACGCGAATGCACACGAAAATGTGAGAAGCCTTCGTCAAATTCACCTGCCGTGAGTGTTTGAACAACACATCTCTTCGGTACTGCAGAAGATCTGTGGGAAGAAGTTTTTCGTTGTTGTAGACGAGACCACTGATGCCAGGGATTGCAGGGTCTTAAACATCATCATTGGTCAGTTTTTGTTGACTTAACAATTTATATAACCAGGGGTGCACATAACTTTTTTGGTGTGGTTCTCAAGGGAGCACCTGAGATGCTCCCTGGTGCTCACTCTTTACGCAGCGCCCATCCTACAAGGTGTCATCATCGCAGCCGTCCTTTCCTGCAGAGCACTCAGTACGCATGCGTTTTCGATGCAAATCAGCTCACAAACGAGGAAGTTGAGCAAAACAAAAAAATTAAAATATTTCTTAATGTATATTTACTTTTACTTAGAAAACAGTAAATCTTTCTTATGTTCAATTTCATCAAGCAAGAGGAGGATTTCTTCCTTTGTGAATGCTAACTTTCGTGGCCTTTTCCCCTACATGACCGATTGTCAGACACCGTGTTGCCACATGCCAATTTATTGGAGCAATCAGGCTCTGGATTGTTTAACTGAACAATGAACTGAGCAGACAAAGGTTAAATGAGTTTTACGTCATTATTAAACCTTTTCTTTAATTATTTCTATTCTTGTGATCTTTCGTTGTAATATTTCTGTAAGCTAATTTAATTAAAAAGACACTGAATCAATTTAGTCATATATAATGATGATGACAATGTGTTTTTAAAATATTGTATTTCAGTGTTGATTGGTTAAAACGAGGACGTTCAATCTCATAGCATCGATTTATTAACAACTAATGCTTTAGCGAGGACTCAAGAAACTCTCCGCAAAATTCCTCTTTAGGCCCGTCTAATGACTGTGTTTGGGAAACCCACGTAAGGAGAATGTGACGAACATGAGAGAATGTTCGTTGCTTAAGAATCTCTGTGCCACGCTCGTTAATCCTGAGATCCAACATTATCGGGAAACCCACTGCAGAGCTTTTTTAAACAAGCATGGCTGCCAGTCAAAACAGCCTCTGATGGCTCTCAAGTCAAGAACACACAACTTTAAAACAAACAGCTTTGGGTCTACGGACGCAATCCAAGGAACAGTGGATTGTTAATGGATAAGAATAGTTTTTTTTTTCAGTATGGGAAATGTAATACGTAAAATGTAGATATTTCTTATAGAAATTTTCCAATAAGTCACCGGAGTTTAAGGTAGGATTACGAAGCTTCTGAAAGGGATTTGCATGCATCGGTGCTCTAGTTGAAATGGGGCAACGCATAAAATCTAAGCAAAAAATTAAGTACTTCGCTTGTACCATTGCGGAGATTTTCAGAATGTAATATGTGGTGTGCTTTGATGTCTTCTATGACATTGACGATCGTAGAAGGTATTTTCAAAGCATTATCTAGCTAGCTCCTGCGATTTTTGTCGCATTAAATTGCCCATGAACATAATGGAGGTTTCTGGATTTGGGCCAAGTTATGGTCCAGTTGCCTCCGGAACCGGGTCGGTCAAAAAAGTTTCTGATCGATAAAATTTCACAGAATCTAAATAGAAATATTAAAGATCACGTCTATTTAGTTTTTAACAGTGTCTGACCAGTATTTTGTGTAAATTATAAGCCTACACCTTGAAAACGACCGTATGCTTACAACCGTTCATGAAACGGATAATGTGCGCAGATCTTAAAACTTAAAAGATGAGGATATAAAGGCAGTTCCCGGCTACTCCATATTCAAATAGTACTTAGGAATACCGCAACAAAAGCCGACAAGAAGCGAGTTTTCTGGGACAAGTTAAACCGTTAAATAGCCTACATTATTTCTTTTCACAGTCTACTTAGTGAATTATGTGCATGCAAATTATGATGTAACGTCATCTCCCAGTGGTGAAATAATAGCTGATGCATCTTTGTGTCAGTTTGTTCATGTTTAATCATTACTGTGGAACATTTTATCCTTGGATGGAATACACAGTATTGGGATTACTGAACAGAAGTTTCTTAAAAATAAAAAAATAAATATAGCTGATGCATCAGAATCAGACAACTGTTGATCCATGGGGGAATCTGAGTGTCATTGCTGCTGCTCTTATACATTCATATATATATATATATATATATATATATATCTCACACACAATAAGATTATAAATGATTAAAATGGGGCAGTCAGAATAATGCATCATGTCAGTACAGCTGTTGTCTGCCTTTTTGACTGTAGCTTACACTTTGTTTCAAGAGACAATTTTATTTTGCAATATTATTTTAGGTTAAAACAAAATAAATTTTTCTTTCATCACAGTGCAGTATTATATTGCGTCATTATGCAGTTCTTGTTCTGACTTTAACTACTGAGGAAAATCGGGGGTTGCATCAACTAATTTAAGGTTACTTCTATTTAATTAGTGGACATTTTATTCATTAACATAAATAGCACACTCTCTCTGATGGTAAAATTGGTGTAATTGGTAAAAAACAGAATTCCAAAAAATTAAAACGGAAAAAACGGAGTTTGGGAAAAAATAAATTGGAATTTGGAAAAAATAAAACGGATTTCATAGGGCCCTATGCACTGTTCACAAAGAAAGGGCCAGTTTTCCTTCTTACTGACTGTTGGCGGAGAGCAGATCGGAGCGCTCTGTTTTTTTTATTTTTTCTATTTGAGTGTGTGGGGGGGCATGGGGGGGCCTGTGTGTGTGGGGGGCATGGGGGGCCTGCCAATCAGGGCAGATGCTGGCAGGATTTTGGGGAGATGACGTGCTCTCGATGGGGAGCCGCGAGCTGTTGGGAGTTTGCGGCCAGAGAGGAGCTGTGGACTGACGTGCTAAGCCCTGCCAATGTGTTCGTCATGCACAGGGCTACGCTCAGCAGCACATACTGTCTGTTTGGAGGCTGATAAAAATGTTTTTTTTTGTTGTTTTGTTTTGTTTTTCTCGGTTTGTTGCCTCCCGTCCTCTCCCAGTCAGTGTCACAGCATTCGTTAGCGGCGCCATATGTTCATGTTTGTGCTGTGTTCTGGGACTGTTTCCGCCTGGAAGACTCATGTACATGATTTTCAAAAGAAAAATAGAACCCCTCTAACCATGTCTTTGTAATATTATTATTATTATTATTATTATTATTATTATTATTATTAGGCGTCATGGCGGCACAGTGGTTAGCACTGCTGCCTCACAGCAGGTGGTTGTGGGTACGAATCCGGCCTGGGGCCTTTCTGTGTGGAGTTTGCATTTTCTCTCCGTGTTTGTGTCGGTTTCCTCTCAAAGACATACTTGCCAGTTGGAGACACTAAATTGGCCATTGGTGTGAGTGTGTGTGTGAATGGTGTGTGCGTGTGTGTGAATGGTGTGAGTGTGTGTGTGCCCGTGACGGGTTGGTGAGCCATCCAGGGTGGGTCCCTCGCCCAGAGTCAGCTGGGATAGACTCCAGTGTGACCCTAGTGAGGAAGAAGCGAAGATAATGGATGGGTGGATTATTACGCTTATATTCTCATATCAGAATTTCTTTCAACTTTGCCATTTGGAGTGTACGCTCCTGGAATGCTTTCAAGAGTTTCAAAAGTCAGAGCTCTGGAATTCTAATTCTTTGAATTATCATCTCCAGTAATGATGGTAATATTAGCTGCAGAATGTCCATGTTGAAACACTTTAAGTTGGAAGGGTTAATTATTCAGTGTTTTTTTTTTTGCTAATTTGCAGCCATCTTAAAGAGAGGAGGTAGAGTGTGATGTGCATATGCTTGGACAGTGACACGATACAGGGCCTCATCAGCCATTTCCACACTGCAGACTGTCAGCTTATGATGTGAAGTTATTTACTTCCATGCCCAGTGAACCGTGTAGAAATTTCAGACCCATAGTTAATGGAGTCTGTGTCCAAGTAATTATGGAGCTCATTGTACGCAAAGTAGTGTTTGTAAAGGGATTGAAATTAAAGTCAGAAGTAGAATTGATGCCGCTCAAATCTCTCACATCAATGTTATGCAACATTAGAATGGCCTGGTTTATATCGCCTGTGTTGGCCAAGTCATTGCTACATGTTTACTTGCAAAGCCATTACTGGAAAACCATGGGCGTGTAACTGTCTTCCCTCTGGGCCGACTTACTGTGGAACTCCTTTGTGTTTCCAGCAAACAGTCATGGTCTAAAGTCTGACCCTCAAAAGTCCTTGGGAAACTGATTTTAATTGCCTTGCACTCTGAAGCAAGAATAAACTTTAGAGTCATATTGAAATTAGAATGTTGATGGAATTATCTTATTTTAAACTCAAACTGCTCCATACTTACACCAGGCCATTTTAATATGTTACGTAACATGGATATGAGAGATTGGATTGGCACCAATTTTACTTTCAGCTTCAATCCCAATACCAAATATAGTTTGCCCACATATAGATTGTTGACACATTGTTTACCATGTGACTTGTAAGGTGTCCATCAGTTTGTCCAGTTGTTTGCTACTGTGCTGGAGGTGCAGGTGTCGGAGGTGCTAACTCTGCTCTGTCTCCCACAGCTGTGCTGGAGGTGCAGGTGACGTAGATGCTAACTCTGCCCTGTCTCCCACAGCTGTGCTGGAGATGCAGGTGTCGGAGGTGCTAACTCTGCCCTGTCTCCCACAGCTGTGCTGGAGCTGCAGGTGTCAGAGGTGCTAACTCTGCTCTGTCTCCCACAGCTGTGCTGGAGCTGCAGGTGTCAGAGGTGCTAACTCTGCCCTGTCTCCCACAGCTGTGCTGGAGATGCAGGTGTCGGAGGTGCTAACTCTGCTCTGTCTCCCACAGCTGTGCTGGAGGTGCAGGTGTCGGAAGTGCTAACTCTGCCCTGTCTCCCACAGCTGTGCTGGAGCTGCAGGTGTCGGAGGTGCTAACTCTGCTCTGTCTCCCACAGCTGTGCTGGAGATGCAGGTGTCGGAGGTGCTAACTCTGCTCTGTCTCCCACAGCTGTGCTGGAGCTGCAGGTGTCAGAGGTGCTAACTCTGCTCTGTCTCCCACAGCTGTGCTGGAGGTGCAGGTGTCGGAGGTGCTAACTCTGCCCTGTCTCCCACAGCTGTGCTGGAGGTGCAGGTGTCGGAGGTGCTAACTCTGCCCTGTCTCCCACAGCTGTGCTGGAGCTGCAGGTGTCGGAGGTGCTAACTCTGCCCTGTCTCCCACAGCTGTGCTGGAGGTGCAGGTGTCGGAGGTGCTAACTCTGCCCTGTCTCCCACAGCTGTGCTGGAGGTGCAGGTGTCGGAGGTGCTAACTCTGCCCTGTCTCCCACAGCTGTGCTGGAGGTGCAGGTGTCGGAGGTGCTAACTCTGCCCTGTCTCCCACAGCTGTGCTGGAGGTGCAGGTGTCGGAGGTGCTAACTCTGCCCTGTCTCCCACAGCTGTGCTGGAGGTGCAGGTGTCGGAGGCTCCAGTGATTGCCCTGCACGGACAGGACGTCATCCTTAATTGCTCCTTCTCCCCCGCCGGGCCGTTAAACTTCTCCGCCCTCGTCATCCTGTGGCAGCGGAATGTCGCCGCCAGGCTGGTGCACGGCTACCGGAACGGTGTCGACCAGCCGAGCGATCAGGACGAGCGATTCATCAACCGCACGCGCCTGTTTCACGCCGAGCTGGGCTCCGGGAACGCGTCGCTGGTCCTGCGGAACGTGCGGGTCGGGGATGAGGGCTTCTACACCTGCTTCGTGAGGATCCAGGAGTTCGGCGGGGCGGCTGTGCTGATGGAGGTCGCAGGTCAGCAGGACGGTCTTCCCTTAGGGGCACAATCAGAGACGCACACAGCCTGATTTACGGCTATTTTACACTTCTGCACTGCAAAATCTCATTTTCATCTTGCGTTTGAAGGGTTTATTCCAGAAGTGCGAAAGTCCTTTTTCGTCTTTTTAGAGAAACGAGATTTTAAAAATTTGACAACTTGTGGGGATGATGTTACAAGTGTTATGCTGATGTAAACATAATGAAATATCAGAAAAGACGTCTTAAAACACATCAGGAGACCCTCTAGCCTCTATCTTGATTCTTGGCCCAGATATTTCAAACAACACTCAGCAGACTTGAATACTTTTAGAAGCAAATGCCGCAAAATATCGAAAATTGAACTTGATTTAAAAAATTAACAGCATTTAATTTTATAATTTCAGAGTACTAAATGTTATTGAGAACATAACAAAGCACTTTCTAATGAAAATGAACAGTAAATATAGTCATGCCAGTATACTATAGTCATGGATGTCGAAAAGCCTCTTGAACAAAATGAATGGAAGATACACACAGTGAAATGGAAGGTAAATGCAGCTGAATAAAGGTCAAAATAAAAACCAATCTCCATAAATTATGAATGGGCAGTACCACCATCCAAACAGGTTTAAAGACTTCATTCGTCATCGATAGGGATGTGGCGCGGTAATTAGAAAGTTCAGCCAAAGAATAAGTAGCTAAAAAAGATGACCTTTTGCCAGACTTCTTTTTAGCTTGTTTTTAGCCCATGTTTCTGGCTGCCTGGGTCTTTTTTTTTTTTAGATAATTTGGGTTGAGTCCACACACACACACACGCACACACAAGTCCACACACACACGCACAGGCGCACACACACACACACACACTCTCACATCCTCGCCTGTAGAGTCAGCCATTTTGGTTAGAATAGAAAGCTACAATGGGTGCTATTGCCCAACCAATTTTCTAAGCGATGCTTTGATTGGCTGACTGGACTTGTGTACTTGTAGAAGTTCTAGACTGGACTTGGTCACCACTAGAAGTAGCTTCTTGGAGAATTTCCAATTCACTGATAATTTGATATTGTACTTGAGTGCTTCTTGGCCAAAATTCCCTTATGTGGCTTATTCCTCATCAATGAAAGAATGGATTTGTAGTGTTATCTGATTTTTAATGAATGGACTTGAGCACTTATGGAAATAACCCCTTCATTTAGACTTAAAAAACATTTTTCTTACCTTTTATCCCATTAATTCAGTAATTCTGCTAATGATGTGAGACAATTTTGACTTATTTCTAGATTTGTCCATGGGACAGGTCAAATTTTCTTGTTCCATGGACAAATTAAGAAATTAGATAAAATTATCTCACATCTGTGGGAGAATTTTTGTTTTATGGAGAAAAAAGATCTTGGAGATTAGTGTTTTAAGTGAACATAACAAGATTAAAATGTTTGTTTAGATATGTTTGCAGTGTATGCAGTCTATGTTAAACTGGACCTGTGTTTGGGATGTGCGGGATGGTGCATCGTGAGGTTAAGTTGAAAACCTGCTTTCTAAAGCCCCCTACAGCCCAGTCCCGGCTGCGATCGTCAGGGGCGTATTTGGGTCCCGGCTGCGATCGTCAGGGGCGTATTTGGGTCCCGGCTGCGATCGTCAGGGGCGTATTTGGGTCACGGCTGCGATCGTCAGGGGCGTATTTGGGTCCCGGCTGCGATCGTCAGGGGGGTCCCTGCGGGTCCGTATTTGGGATCCTCAGGGGCGTATTTGGGTCCCGGCTGCGATCGTCAGGGGCGTGTTTGGGTCTCTGTGCCCGTTTGTCCTTCATTTCCTTCTCTTCATCTCTGTTTCCCCTCTCATTCTGTCTCACTCATACACTCTGATGTTTACACACACACACATATACAGTACCTGTCAAAAGTTTGGAAACACTTTGCTAATGTCACAGCGCTCTGTTTTTAGAGAAATTTAAACAGCTTAACCTCTCTATATAATCTCAAATGGAATCTTGTAAAAGGTTAACAGTCAGAAGTGAAAAGAGAATAATTTACTTGTTTGAATAGTGTCCAAAATTTTGGAATCCTCAAAGAAGCCATATTTCGCAAAGTAAACAGACAAATACTTTCCTTCTATTTTCCAACAGCCGAATTAAAGTCAAGTGATTTTGGGACTTATTGGGCAAAAAGGTTGATGAAAAGCCACCTCAAGTGCAGCACGTCTTTGGGAAGTTAGACAGCTGTCCAGCTGCAAATTCATTATAGTCATATGACTGTTCTTGTTTAAAAAAAAAAAAATGCGAGAATGCGCTGCAAATATGACAACAAATGGTAGTTAGTGTGATGGATTTAAGAATTAGATTTTTTTTTTTTGCAAAATAAAGGCTGCTTATTTCTTTATTTAAAATATAATGTGAGAAAAATGTGTGTCCAAACTTTTGACAGGTACTGTACATGCAACTCACACACACACACACACACATACATACATACGTGCGACTCACACACACACATACACGTACACA